GGGAGAATCAAAATATAAATCATTCCGGTATTATTGTGCCAGCGGTATTGTCCGATACCTCAGGAGATGGCTGGGTTTCACATCCTGTTGTTTTTCCCACCGTCGGCACCAGGAAAAAGCTGGATTTTTGTAAATACAAAACAACAAAAATCACCAAAGACAACCCTCCGCCCCCCCCCACTCCCCCATTGCCTTCTCTTTTCAATATAATGCTCTTTCCTGACCTCCCCTTCCATCCATCCATCCATCCGTCTAAACCACCTGCTTTAAAGGAAACCATTTTTCACAGAAAAAGGAAATGGGGGTGTCCATTTCCATCCCAGGTCCAGACTATAAAGGGAAGAAAAAGAAATCCCCCTTTTTCCCACCCCCTCCTCCCAAAAAGGGAAAAAAGTTGTATACTTCTAGGGGGGTTTCTTAGAGATCGGTTCCATCTGGAATGCAAGAAGTGCTTGTCAGTCCGTGCATGTTTTATGTATCTGTTTGTGTTTATATTTGGTACATCCTGCAATGATGATAAGAACAGGTGGCATTTAGGGAAGACAAGGCCAAGGAGAGGAAGCCATGCTGTCGATTGTGTTGTTGTTTGGTTTAGTCTCCCGAGACGAAAACATAGCAGGAGGGATCCCATGATGTTCAAATCTCATGATGCTGCATCTTCTCTTGGATTGTGTCTTCTTCCTCAGTCATAACATCTGCCATCTTGATCACACTTTAATGAAGGCTCTGATATTCAAGTCTCCAGAACCAGATAACCTATTTATTTATTTCAGATATTTGTACCCCACTCTTATTTATTTATTTATTTCGAGCTTTTATAACCCGGTCTTCTCAACCTCCAAAGAGGGACTCAGGCCGGCTAACAGCATAGGATTAAAATACAATAAGATAAACCACAGTAAACATCATAATACAATAGTACAAAAATACATTAAAATACAATTATACAACTTACAAAAGGTCAGTTCAGCACAGAAGGATATCACATTGAGGAGGGGAGAAATTCTTTTCTGCTGCTCTGAAAATTAGGACACCATGGAGCAATGGATTCAAATTTCAGGAAAAAAGATTCCACTTAAATATTAGGATGAATTTCCTGATAGTAAGAGCTGTTCAGCAGTGGAACTCACTGCCTCAAAGTGTGGTGGAGGCTCCTTCTCTGGAGGTTTTTTTAGCAGAAGCAGAATGGACATCTGTTAGGAATGCTCTGATTCTATGTTCTTGCATGGCACAATGGGGTTGGACTGGATGGTCCTTGTTGTCTCGTCTAATTCTATGTTTCTATAGTTGTCACCTGCAAAATGTTGAAAGTATAGAATTAGGAATTACAATCTGATGCTGATCTAAATCATAGCCTTGAAAACGATGCACCGAGAAGCGAAGATGGGAAAACCCATTGAGGGACAAATTAATGAACTCAGTGCTGCAAAGGAGAGCAGGCCTGGGGAACACACAAATCGCAAGTCAGATTCATCTCAGGGATTATGCTTTCATTAATCCAATTTTTTCCAGATGTCCCCTTCCTTCTCCCCCGAGCTTCAAAGGCCTCGTGGTTCTGGGTTCTGATGAAGCCGTGTTGTCGTGTGACGAAAGCAGGAGGGTTTCAAGTGTTTGAAATGGCTTTTTCTTCCTCTCCAATCACTCCCCGGCCCCGACCCCTTCGACGCATGAGATCCCCCCTCTCTGCACACATGTGCTTTCTTGTAAGCGATGTTCAACCAAATGTGCTAACAACATGGAACGCGGGGGGTTGAAAAATTAAATGTTTTCTCGTGCATTGGGAGGTTGTGGAGAGGGTGCGTGGCTTTTTGTGTTGAGAGAGGAACATGGTTTGGGATGGTTTTGCAAGTTTTTGGCTACCTGCCTGTTGTTTCTGACGCCAGCTGGTGACTCTTGTTCTCACATCTCAGCAAAGCCATTTGGATTCAAGATGCCTGGTTGTCTCAGATGGGATGGATGGTTTCCAAAGAGGCTTGGTCAGTCACGGAATCATAGAATCATAAAATCCTAGAGTTGGAAAAGACCACAAGGGCCATCTAGCCCAACACTCTGCCATGAAGGAACACACAATCAAAGTACCCCTGACAGATGACCATCTAACCACTGCTTAAAAACCTCCAGAGAAGGAGACTCCACCACACTCCTTGGCAGCATTTTCCACTGCTCAACAGCTCTTACTACCAGGAATGAGAACTGGACAACCATAAGTGGTGACAAAACTGTTGGACCTTCCTTATAAATGTACCAAAGAGTAACTTATTAGCAACTGTGTGACCCAGCACCAGTAGCCCAAAGTGACAAAAAGAACAAAAACACACAGACCAATGTTATCTCTTCCATCAGAGGCTTTTCTTTATAGCAAAATAATATGGTTGCACTATTTATAAGAGCAAGGTTCCTGTAACACAAATAAAGTTCTTTATACTTCTTTCTTTGCTTCCACGCTGGGCTTCTTTCTCATGCGGAAAAACAGCTTCGCTCTTACAGAGCCTCTTCTCACACTAAACTTACACAGGAGCTTCACACAATAGCTTTTTACACACAGCAGACTTCAAACTGGAGCTTTACACACAAGGCCTTAAACCTGGAGCTTCTCTCACCGAAAGCTTCTCTCACAAGGCCTTCTCACACTGAGGCCTATGGTTTGGAACCTGCCTTATCTTGTTGTTGTTCATTCGTTCAGTCGTCTCCAACTCTTCATGACCTCATGGACCAGCCCACGCCAGAGCTCCCTGTCGGCCATCACCACCCCCAGCTCCTTCAAGGTCAGTCCAGTCACTTCAAGGATGCCATCCATCCATCTTGCCCTTGGTCGGCCCCTCCTCCTTTTACCTTCCACTTTCCCCAGCATAATTGTCTTCTCTAGGCTTTGCTGTCTTCTCATGATGTGGCCAAAGTACTTCAACTTTGTCTCTAGTCTCCTTCCCTCCAGTGAGCAGTCGGGCTTTATTTCCTGGAGGATGGACTGGTTGGATCTTCTCGCAGTCCAAGGCACTCTCAGAACTTTTCTCCAACACCACAGCCTTATCTTAGTGACTGAATTTCCTTCTACAAACCTGCACAATTTCTTCAATCCTCCAGGGAGGCCCTCCTCTCACTCCCACCTCCACTGCAGGTGTGGCTTGTGGGGACGAAGGAGGGGACCTTCCCTGTGGTGGCCCCTCAGCTTTGGAACTCACTACCTTGGCAGTCTTTAAGAAAGGCCTAAAAACCTGGCTCTTCCAGGGTGCCTTTGACGAATGAGCACAAATCTCCCATACCATGTCCGTTCCGGTATAGATCTGCCCTCTTGATGTACTTTCTCTCATCCCAAGGTTTAACCCCATTGTTCGCCCCTTCTGAGTCTCCCCTCAGACACATCACTCCATTTATCCATCTCACCCAGGGTTTTATAAATTGTATCCTTTTCATTTGGCCCGCCCACTGTGTTTTAACTCCTCTACCATTTGATTTTGTGTTTGTTTTATTGTATATTTTGTTATTGTTTGCATTTTACTTTGATGTTATTATTTGTTTGTATTTTATTTTGCTTGATTGTAATTCTTGGGCTTGGCCTCATGTTAGCTGCCCCAAGTCTCCTTGGGGAGATGGTGGTGGGGTATAAATAAAGATGATGATGATGATTATTATTATTATTTCACACTGAGGCTTACTAACACACTGAGGCCGACCTCACACTGAGGTCTTCCTCACACTGAGACCTACTAACTCTAAGGCTTACTAACACACTGAGTCCCTTCTCCCACAGAGACCTCTCACACACTGAGGCCAACTAAGCTACAGGCACTGTGCTGGTATGGCTGTACCAAAAGCTCCAACTTCCTTTTCTTTCTTTGAGTGTTTGCATGTATTCCAAAGTTCCATGCATTTTGCGATAAGGTGGCTTCCCTTGGTTTGCAATTATATGGCTAATGACCCATCAATCATTGTTAAGTTTTGGTTCCGCCCCTTTCCCCAGGGCTCTGGGAGGAGAGGGAGCCATTTTAGGTCAGTCTTGCATTGGAAAGCTTAGCTACAGGATGTGGATTAGCTCCATCTGTACATAAGTTTTGTTTCTCACAGCATTCGGGGGAAAACAATTCCAAAGGACTCCAGCTGGAGATTCTACAAAGCCTTCACTGGTAGGTCTACTCAGGACCCAAGAAGCAGTTTGGAGCCGGGAGTAGAGACCACACCAGCAAAGTTTAGAAAGCAGATTGCCCAAGGAGGGGTTAAAAAGGGTTTTCCTCTTAAAGAAAAGAAACAGTTCACGAAGCCAGTTGCCTGTCCCTTGTGGACAAGATTAAGAAAACCACCAGTTGATTCAATGCCTTGAAGCATTTGTTGAATTTGTTGACGATCTAAGAAGTATTTGATTGTTTGTTGAAGAATTAAGCAATAATAAAGGACTTTGTTAAACCTTTCAAGCTTCTAAAGACTCTGTATAGGAAAATCCTTAGGGCCTCTCACTCGAGGCACCCCGGCTTCCCACTGGGCACAAAGAGCACGTCCTGTTCAAAAGCCAACTGCTATAGGCCCAGCGTGTGACAGCACAGGCACACCTGCTTATATAGAACTACAGCTTTTGCTGAGTCATTGCATCCATTTAACCCTTTCGGTGCTTGACTCACATTTTTGTAATTAAAAAATACCTATTTAATTTTTAATATTTTTTGACAAAAACAGCATCAATTCTGCAGTGTAGATGCACTCCCAGGGACTAATCCAATCTTTGTTTTCCTGGTTGTTGGTGAGACAGGCCGTGTATTGACCCTGGCTTCTTGACGTGCTGGAGTTTTAGCTTGGGGAATGATATCTCTTTATGCTGGAGAGCCCTCCATCTCAATTCAAGCCTGCAATGACATTCATTCTGTTAAAATACTGATGTTTAAGTGGGACTGATGCCCTTGAAGTGCATTCCGGAGACAATCCGGCTCTGGAGGATTCTTTAAGGATTGGCACTGAGCCAACCAAAACCTGTTATACCTGATGGGAAGTTTATAAAAGGCCCTAAAGTGAGCAACAGGCGTTCAACCCAACTCTGGATGTGTTGACGTTCCAAGTCCAATCCGTGTTTCCCCTTTGCTGGAAAAAGGTAAGGGCATTGTAAGGACAACGGTTGGTGGGAGATTTGTTAATCTATTTTAGAACTAGTATACCTTGCAACTGATTTGAGAGAAATAGTCCTGATTGTATGTAATCCTACTTTTCCAGCTACTTTTAAAATGTCCCGGTTTCTCTCACACACTTCTCCTCCTTTGTGCTCAGCTTAGCTCCATTGCTGCAAACTGAGTTCAAAGTGCAAAAACAGCCATTGTAGAATTAATGCAGTTAAACACTTTAACTTCCTTGGCTCAATGCTATGGAATCCTGGGAGTTGTAGTTTGGTGTGGCACCAGCACTTTTCACCAGAGAAGGTGAAAGACCTTGCAAAACTACAACTCCCTTGATTCCAGTAGTGCCAAATTAATTCCACAGTGTTGATGCACCCTAAGAGAAACAGAAAGAAACTGTTAATACAAGGTAAGTCTTATAAGTCTCAATGTTTGTATTTCTCCCCCTGCAATTGTTTAAACCTCAAGTCCCTTTCCTCCAGAATAGGAAGAAATTTGCAAATTCTGGTATATTTCTACCAAAGAGGAATTGCAACTAAACTCCCAGCCTTTCCCTTGCCAAACCATTGGAGAGGCTTGGAGCTACACCCAGTTCTTGAGCAAGAGAGGCTCCAACGGCCCATTGCCAACTTCTATTCAACAACTCCCTTCCAAGAGAGCTGAGAATGGCACACTCCCTGCCCTCTTTCTGCAAAGACTTTGTTGTTTCAACAGGCCTTCGAGGATTCATTGTTTTGACAGGATGGACCTTGTCTATTGTGCTGGATTTTCTCTGTATTATTTGTTGTGCTACTGCTTTGTGCATGTGAATGAATGTGTTCATAGTTTGTGTTTGGAATGGGTTTGAATGCTTTCAATAGTATAATCACTTTTTAACTTCTGCATTTTGGAATTATAACTTACTGCCAGCCCTCCACTTTTGGGATTTGATTTATGTAGATGTGATTATTCGGATTTGTTTCAAATGTTCTCTCTAGGAATCCCTGGATGAGTTTATGTTAATTTCCATCAGGTGTCAATCATGAATCAGGCCAGCGGACTTAGATCCCATCTATACTGACATATAATGCAGTTTCATTATGCAGTTAAACTACATTAAATTAAATGCAGTGTAGATGTGGCTGTAGATCAGTGTTTCTCAACCTGGGGGTTAGGACCCCTGGAGGGGATTGCAAGGGAGGTGTCAGAGGGGTCACGAAAGACCATCATAAAACACAGTATTTTCTGTTGGTCATGGGAGTTCTGTGTGCAGAGGCGGCTCTAGGTAATTTTTGATGGTAAGCAAACAGCATTTTGGTGCCCCCCCTCCAACCAATTATTGATATATATTTTCTGTTCGTCGTGGGAGTACTGTGTGCCATATTTGATTCAATTCCATCATTGGTGGAGTTCAGAATGCTCTTTGATTGTAGGTGAACTATACATCCCAGTAACTACAACTCACATATGTCAAGGTCTATTTTCCCCCAAGAGCGCCTCAAGAGTGCCCCTGGACACAACCAACTATACTGCAAATGCTTACTTTGCGTAATAGGTTGCTAAGGCTTCCCCCGGACTGCTAGGGTTGTTGTGAGCCGAGGGGGCGCTCAACAAGTGGTGGTCGAGGGGCATTTACAGGGGTGCCTTTGAGCCCCTGGTAAAAAAAAAGTGTACTGCGACCACTTACTTTGCGTAATGGATGAGCCGTCCCTGTCTGTGTGGGAAGTTTGACACAATTCTATCATTGGTTGGGTTCAGAATGCTCTTTGATTGTAGATAACCTATAAATCCCAGCAAGTACAACTCCCAAATATCAAGGTCTATTTTCCCTAAACTGCACCAATATTCACATTTGGGCATATTAAGTATTCGTGCCAAGTTTGGTCCAGATTCATCATTGTTTGAGTCCATAGTGCTCTCTAGGTGTAGGCGGCCCTAGGTAATTTTCAATGGTAAGCAAACAGTATTTTTTTTGCAAACAGTATTTTGGCGCCCACCCCCCCCCCCCAACCAATCACTTATATATTTTTTCTGTTTGTCATGGGAGTTCTGTGTGCCATATTTGGTTCAATTCCATCATTGGTGGAGTTCAGAATGCTCTTTGATTGTAGGTGAACTATACATCCCAGTAACTACAACTCGCATATGTCAAGGTCTATTTTCCCCCAAGAGTGCCTCAAGAGAGCCCCTGGGCGAAATCAACTATACTGCAAATGCTTACTTTGTGTAATGGGTTGAGCCGCCCCTGACTACGACTCCAAAACTCAAGGTCAATGCCCACCAAACCCTTCCAGTATTTTTTGTTGGTCGTGGGAGTTCAGTGTGCCAAGTTTGTTTCAATTCCATCGTTGGTAGAGTTCAAAATGATCTTTGATTGTAGGTGAACTATAAATCCCAGCAACTACAACTCCCAAATGACAAAATCAACCCCCCCCCCCCAACCCCGCCAGTATTCAAATTTGGGCATATTGGGTATTTGTGCCAAAATTGTTCCAGTGAATGAAAATACATCCTGCATATCAGATATTGAAATTACAATTAATAACAGTAGCAAAATTACAGTTATGAAGTAGCAACAAAAATAATGTTATGGTTGGGTGTCACCACAACATGAGGAACTGTATTAAGGTGTCGCAGCATTAGGAAGGTTGAGCAACACTGCCCTAAGACATGAGAGTACTTTTAAAATGTGTATTGTCTGCCTCCTTGTCATGCTAACAACAAGAACAACAACAAGAGCAGGCAAGGCAATAAGCCCAACAGATGACAGAAGGAATTGTTTAAATTGTCCCTAGGTTGAGTTTTATTAGCCTACTAAATTGCTTTGTTGATTTCCTTCTCCTTGGTTGGCTTCTTGATGCAGATCCTCTTTGTGGACCTTGGTGGAAAATGTCCAAAGTGTTCTCCACCAATCTTCGTTGCCGGTTGCCCTTCTTGCTCTTCCTCTTCCAGACTTCTCTGCTCCTGGTCTTCCTCCTGTTTGTGACCTACGATGAACACACAGATGCCGCTGCCCAGCCTTCCCATGTTGACCCTGCTGCCAACCAGCTCTACACCATTTTCTCCCTCTTCCAGGACATCCAGTTGATGCTGTTGGTTGGGCTGGGCTTGCTGCTGGCTTTCATGAAGGGCTACGGATTCAGCGCTGTGGCCAATAACTTCCTCTTGGCCAACTTCTCCACCCAGTGGGCCCTGGTCCTACAAGGATTCGTACATCACTCCCAAAATGGGAAGATTCGCCTCGGCCTTTACAATATCCTCACTGCCGAATTTGCAGCTGTGACTGTCCTCATCTCTGCTGGGGCCATTTTGGGCCGAACGAGCTCCATCCAGCTTCTTCTCATGAGCCTTTGTGAAATCCCCCTTTATGTGGCCTGCGAATGGGTGACAGTGAGCTACTTGCAGGCTGTGGATGTAGGAGGAACCATCACACTCCACGTCTTTGCTTGCTATTTTGGGTTGGGTGCCTCCATTGCTCTCTACCGCCCAGGGTTGCGACTGGGGCACCCAAAAGAGACTCCTTCTTACATCTCAGATCTTCTTTCCTTGGTAGGAACTGTATTTCTTTGGGTATTTTGGCCCAGTTTTGTTGCTGTCCTTGTCCAACCAGGCGATGCCCAGCACAGGGCTGTGCTGCATACATGGATTACTCTCAGCGCTAGTGCTGTGGTTTCTTTTGCAACCTCCAGTCTTCTGGAAAAGGAAGGCAAGTTGAACGTGGCTCATTTGCAGAATGCCACCTTGGCCGGAGGAGTGGCCATAGGGGCAGTGGCCAATATGGCTATTACTCCAGCTGGAGCATTCATCCTAGGTATCGTTTCCTCCTTAGTCTGCATCCTTGGCTTCAAATACATGACACCATTCCTAGCCACCAAAGTTCGGGTGCAGGACCAGTGTGGGATTCACAACCTCCATGGCTTACCAGGACTCATTGGTGCCGTGGGTGGAATTGCAGCCATTTTGTTAGTGCCAGACGAAGCTTACGGACATCGGCTTTACCAAGTCTTCCCTCCACGTGCTCCAACATCAAGGAACATCACCATGGAGGCAACCTCGGTTGGGGAGAATCTGGCCAGGAGTGCCTCACAGCAAGCGCTCTTCCAGGCTGCAGGCCTTGGGGTCTCCTTCCTCGTGTCTCTTTTGGGGGGCTTCCTCACTGGGCTGCTTTTGAAATTGCCCTTTCTTGCCCAGCCGCCTGACGAACTCTGCTTTGACGATGCCCTTTACTTTCAGGTCCAAGAGCGAATTGATCCCTTGAGTCTTGATCAGGAGAGTGGGGACTTCCGCTTGCCATTGAAACTTCACATTTCATCTCCTTGTGATGTCAAAGCAGAAATGAAACAAGAAAACTGAACATTTGGTTCCAGAAATTCAAAGTGTAAGGACTGCAAGATTTCAAGCAGGCCTATTCCTAGAGTTTGGAAAACACTGCCTTTTCTTTTTGGATAAGCAACAAACAGTGAAAGTGGTGCTGAACAGCATTAAATCTATAATGTATATTTCATTTTTGTTGTTCATTCGTTCAGTTATTTCCAACTCTTCGTGATTTCATGGACCAGTCCACGCCAGAGCTCCCTGTCGGCCGTCACCACCCTCAGCTCCTTCAAGGTCAATCCAGTCACTTCAAGGATCCCATTCCATCCATCTTGCCCTTGGTCGGCCCCTCTTCCTTTTTCCTTCCATTTCCCCCATCATAATTGTCTTCTCTAAGCTTTCTTTTCTTCTCATGATGTGGCCAAATACTTCAATTATTTCAAAAGTATATTTTGTGACTACTCTTAATTAACTACAGTGAGCCGTTGGGATCCACTGGGGTTTGATTCTGGGATATCAAAATTCATATTCCTCAAGTCTAATTATATACAATAGTGTAGTCAAATGGTGTCCCTTATATAATGTAATCAAAGTTTGCTTTTAGGATTTAAAATTTTAATTTAATTTAATTTTTTGAGGCTGGAATTCATGGATTTTGATATCTGGATACAAAAGGTCAATTGTATTAACTATGGAGCTGATATAAAGGACTGGCTAATATTTCTACCAGAAAATTTCAAAACTGAACAGGAAAATAGGGCTGGAGAAGAAGAGGACATGACCCTTGGCTCTTAGAGAAGACTAAATATTTATTTATTTATTTATTTATTATTTGCACTTGTTAACCGCCACTCTCAGCCCAGGGGCGACTCGTGGCGGTGTACAGAACATAGAAAAGACAACAATTTACAATAGAACAGGACCATAACACAACATATAAAAATCCGCTTCGTCTAGTTTGGGGTCTTAGTCAAACTCATAGTCATAGTCCATTCCGGTGGTCATTCCAAAGGACCTGGCACTAGCTGAAGGCCTTTTCGAAGAGCCAGGTTTTCAGGCCCTTGCGGAAGGCCATGAGGGAAGGCGCCTGTCTGATTTCAGCAGGGAGGGAGTTCCACAGCCGGGGGGCCACCACCGAGAAGGCCCGCTCTCTCGTCCCCGCCAGGCGTGCCTGTGAGGCAGGCGGGACCGAGAGAAGGGCCTCCCCAGATGATCTCAAGGTCCTCGTGGGCTCGTAGGCCGAGATGCGGTCAAGGTATTTTGGGCCGGAACCGTTTAGGGCTTTGTAGGATAACACCAGCACCTTAAATTGGGCCCGGTAGCAAATCGGCAGCCAGTGGAGCTGGGACAGCAAGGGCGTTGTATGCTCCCTGCGTCCCGCTCCAGTTAACAACATGGCTGCCGCGCGCTGGACTAGCTGGAGCTTCCGGGCCGTCTTCAAGGGCAGCCCCACGTAGAGAGCGTTGCAGTAGTCAAGGCGGGATGTGACCAAAGCGTGTACCACCGTGGCCAAGTCAGACTTCCCAAGGTACGGGCGCAGCTGGCGCACGAGCCGAAGCTGTGCAAATGCTCCCCTGGTCACCGCTGAAACCTGGGGATCCAGGCTCAACGATGAGTCCAGGGTCACACCCAAGCTGCGAACCTGCGCCTTCAAGGGGAGTGCGACCCCATCCAGCACAGGCTGTAACCCTATACCCTGTTCGGCCTTGCGACTGACCAGGAGTACCTCTGTCTTGTCTGGATTTAATTTCAGTTTGTTCGCCCTCATCCAGACCGTTACAGCGGCCAGGCACCGGTTCAGGACCTCGACAGCCTCCTTAGTAGCAGGTGGAAAGGAGTGACAGAGTTGGACATCATCTGCGTACAGGTGACACCGCACCCCGAAACTCCGGATGATCTCACCCAGCGGCTTCATGTAGATGTTAAACAGCATGGGGGACAGTATGGAGCCCTGAGGAACACCACAGGTCAAAGGCTGTGGAGTTGAACAGGAGTCCCCCAATAACACCTTCTGGGTACGTCCCTCCAGAAATGACTGGAGCCACCGCAAAGCGGTGCCCCCAAGACCCATCTCTGCAAGGCGTCCCAGAAGAATACCGTGGTCGACGGTATCGAAGGCCGCTGAGAGATCCAGGAGCACCAACAGGGACACACTCCCCCTGTCTAGCTCCCGGCGGAGATCATCCACTAAGGCGACCAAGACCGTCTCAGTACCATGTCCCGGTCTGAAACCAGACTGTGCCGGATCCAGATAATCCGTGTCTCTCAAGAATACCTGGAGTTGTGAGGCCACCACGCTTTCCATGACTTTGCCCAAAAAGGGGAGATTGGAAACAGGCCGAAAGTTGTCAAATTTAGTGGGGTCCAGTGATGGTTTCTTCAACAGCGGTTTTATAATAGCCTGTTTTAAGCTCGCTGGAATCTTGCCTTCCCGAAGGGAGGCATTAACCACCACCGTTACCCACTCAGCCAATCCCCCTCTGGCCTCTTTCAGAAGCCAGGATGGGCAGGGGTCTAGGATGGACGTGGTAGGCCTCATTCCTCCAAGTATCTTGTCCACATCCTCGGGTTTCACAAACTGAAAAGAATCCAACAAAATAGGACAAGCAGGTGCTTGTGTCACATCCACAGAGACTGCATTTAAAGTGGCGTCCAGCCCAGAACGGATCAAAGCGACTTTGTCTGCAAAAAACCGAGCAAATGCTTCACAGCGCGTGGACGAGTTGTCAGGGCTCCCACCTGAGTAGGGGGAGTTAAAAGACCTCTGACAATCCGAAACACCTCCGCCGGACGGTTTTTTGCAGACGCAATAGTGGCCGCAAAGAAAGTTTTCTTTGCGGCTTTTATTGCCGCGGCATATGCCCTTAAAAAGGACACAAACCGTGCTCGATTTGACTCGCTTGGGTCCGAACGCCACACGCTCTCTAGTTCCCTCTTCCTTCGCTTCATCGCTGCCAGCTCCTCAGTAAACCAAGGAGCTGGTTTAGCTCGGTTACTTGAGAGGGGACGTTCCGGAGCGATCCTGTCAATTGCCCTGGTCATCTCCCCATTCCAGAGAGCGACCAAGGCCTCGACATGGTCACCTACCGAGGTAGCGGGAAAATCCCCAAGAGCCGTCAGGAATCCATTCGGATCCATAAGCCTCCTGGGGCGGACCATCTTAATGGGTCCTCCACCTTTGCGGAGGTTAGGGGGCGCAGTGAGCCTAAATCTGATCAGGAAGTGGTCGGTCCATGGCAACGGAGAGATGGACAACTCCTCCACACCGCCACCCTGCTCCCATCCCTGGCAGAAAACCAAGTCCAATGTGTGTCCAGCACAGTGGGTGGGGCCAGTTATTTGTTGGGACAGCCCCATGGTTGCCATGGCAGACATGAAGTCCTGAGCTGCTCCTGTGAGGGTTGCCTCGGCATGGATGTTGAAGTCCCCCAGCACAAGAAGCCGTTGGGACTCCACCACCAGGTTCGAGACGACCCCCGCTAGCTCAGGCAGGGAGACTGTAGTGCAGCGAGGTGGACGGTACACTACAAGAATCCCTATTCTGTCCCGGTCACCCACCCTCAGGTGGACGCATTCGAAATTTGTGGTCTGCGGGATGGGACTCCTGGTCAGATGGATGGAATCTCTATAGACCACTGCGACCCCGCCTCCCCGTCCTCCGGCTCTTGGTTGGTGTTGCACGGAGAAGCCAGGAGGACAAAGCTGGGAGAGGTTTACGCCCCCCGCTTCGTCCAGCCAGGTCTCCGTGATGCACGCCAGATCTGCCCGCTCCTCCAGGATTAAGTCCTGAATCCAGGTCGTTTTTCCGTTGACAGATCTGGCGTTCAACAGCACCACCTTCAATCCGAAGGGACGCTCACCCGGTTACACCAATTTACCTTAGGAGACCGGTTGGGGGTTGTTAATATGGATAAGCGGTCCGAATTAGGCCGAATTTGAGGTCTCCTTTTCCCGCATCTCCTCCTTCCCACCACGACCTCTATGGGGGCCCCTCGGCTAATGGGACACCTCCCCCCCTCCATGCCGCAGACTAAAGATAAGATCTTACTTTCTGCTTTGTTCGTTATTTGATTTTTCAAACCTTGCCAGTAGCCTTTCTCCTCCTCTTCCCCCCTCCTCCCCTCATTTTTATTTACATGCTCCAGCCCACCTCCTCCTCTGTCCCTCACACTACCCAGTAGTAACAGGGATAGTACACAAAGGGGGATGGGGGACCACATGGATAGCAGCAATACAAGATGGTATCCGATCTTCCGGCCACACCAATAGAACAGTTCAGAAAGTGCACAAGTCTTAGGTGCAACTCCGTCAATAACGATAATTTAGTCCGTAACTACGTGCCGTTAGGCGCATTTGTAAAGTGCTAGGTCTAAAGTGCAATGAATCCCATGCATTGGCTCGACGGTAGCTAAAGTAGTTAAAGTGCGGCACAGAGGGACAGGGAAGGGCGAAAGTGCTAGTGCAGTTGGCGGCAGAGGCAGGCCATGCATTGGCTCGACGGTAGCTAAAGTAGTTAAAGTGCGGCACAGAGGGACAGGGAAGGGCGAAAGTGCTAGTGCAGTTGGCGGCAGAGGCAGGCGCCTTAAGTGCTCTCTTACATAAAGTGCTCTAGTTCGTATTTAAATCGTATTATCAACAGATAATAGCCCAGGAATGTACAAGCTGATAGTATATAATTACCCTCTTATGGGCTGAGATGATGACAAATTAGCTAAATGCTATTGTGACCCAGATGGAGTCTCTAGACGGTTGGAATGAAGCGGATGGGGCTTCCGGAGATGGCAACTCGGCGATGGGGCAGCACAGTTGGTCAGTTACCCTATTACACACTCTGTACTAGCACAGAGAGGGCTGGCATAAAGGTCTACACAGAGGTCTATACAAGGCCAGCACAAGGTCTACACAGAGGTCTACGCAAACGGTCTGCACAGAGGTCTACCCAGAAAAGGCCAACACAATATAAGGTCTACACAAGAGAAGGCCGACAAAATATGAGGTCTACACAGAGAGGCCGGCACAAAATGTCTATCCAGGGGTCTGCACAGAGTCAATTGGACAGACCCTCCGCAGCCACGTTACTCTGTCCAGATGGAAGGGTGGGAGGCCGCTCAGATGGTCCGGGCGGTGGTGCGGCCTGTACGGCTCCCAGCGATGGTTGGGCGGCAGA